ACATGTCAATGTGAATATTCACATTATCAGCGGGCCGAGCCGGGCCTGGCCCGCCCCGAGCTGAGGACGGGCTTTTGGCTGCCCATGGGCCGCGGGCCAATTTTGTACTCTTATCAATGTGAATGTTAACATGTCAATGTGAATATTCACATTATCAGCGGGCCGAGCCGGGCCTGGCCCGCCCCGAGCTGAGGACGGGCTTTTGGCTGCCCATGGGCCGCGGGCCAATTTTGTACTCTTATCAATGTGAATGTTAACATGTCAATGTGAATATTCACATTATCAGCGGGCCGAGCCGGGCCTGGCCCGCCCCGAGCTGAGGACGGGCTTTTGGCTGCCCATGGGCCGCGGGCCAATTTTGTACTCTTATCAATGTGAATGTTAACATGTCAATGTGAATATTTACATTGTCAACGGGACGAACGGGGCCCGCCCCGGGCCGCGGGCGGGTTTCGCATCGCTGCGGGACGCGGGCCAAATTTACACTCTTATTAATGTGAATGTTAACATGTCAATGTGAATGTTAACATGTCAATATGAATATTCAAATTGTCAACGGGCCGGGCCCGCCCCGCCCCGACTCGAATTTTTTCGGGCACCCACGATGATCGACATGGGTTGGGCCCCTACACATTGACGATATGAACATTCACATTGACGGTGTGAACATTCATATTAGGGGTATTGTGACAACCCCCACCTCTGTTTACTAATAACACTACTAATTAGTGCTAATCTATGATTAAGCATGTTAATTGACTGACTGACTGAATTATTGAACTGATTGATTGATTGTGCTAGTTTGAATGTAATTCTATCTGTTAACTGTTAAATTATCTGTTCATGTTTTATGCTTTAAACTGCAAATTGAAGGTCTTATCGACGACCGAATCTGAAATTGATTGATGTTTTGTGCTAATTAAGATTTATATGATTTTATGATATATTTAATTGAAATGTGATTTGGTATGATTAAATTAGATTAAATGTTGATAAATTACAAGAGTTGGCCTTATTTACAACCTTGCCACTTAGTGGCCCACTCCATATCATATTTTGAGACTTAGAATCAACACTTCTTCAGCCATTTGCTTGCACCAAACCGACTAGAGAGAGAGAGAGCTAGGAGAAAAACTTGGTTTCATCTTGATTTGCTTGGAGGCTTAGGGATTTTGGAAGATAATTGGCAAATTGAGCTTCTAGACTTGTAATTGAGAACCCAAGGTAGGATATTCAACCTCTCATTAATGTATTCAAGTTAGTTCTTGCCTGGTTCTTGATTTATGGAAGAATTGAGTCTTGATTTAGTCTAATAATGTTGAATTGGAGCTTAATCCATGCATGCATGTGCATGATCTTGCATTTTGAGGTTGTTTTTCATGAAATTCTGCATGCACGTTCATATCTTGAGCTTAGTCCATGAATTCATCTTGTTTTTGAGGCAATTGAGCTCATTTGAGCAAGTAATTGAAGCTTTGAATCTGATTGAACACATGCATGTTACATTTGAAGTATGTTCTTGAAGTTTGGTTTGAAATTGGGTTTAATTGACTCATCTTTGGGCCTTGATTTTACAAATTGAGCTTTGAATCATGTTATACTATGAGTTTTAAAGTGTTTTCCAGAAAATTAGCCCAAAAGGATCGAATTTGGTATATTGAAACTTGATTTTGAGCTTAGAGTTCAAATCTGAAAATTCCAGATTTTGGACTCCCGCTCGAGCGGGAAATTCGTGTATCCAGCACTTTTGTTGTGTCTACAGTCCGCTCGAGCGGAGTTTTGCACCATCGAGCGAGGACTTGTGTCACACGCTCGAGTGGGTGTCGAACGCCCATTGAGCGTGATTTTCACACATCCAGTACTTTTGCAGTCCGCTCGAGCGGGAAAGTTTAAGCTCGAGCGGAGCCTTTTGTTTGCATGTCCGCTCGAGTGGGGAAACCCACGCTCGAGCGGGACCTCTGTTTTCTGAAAATTTTGAAAATATTTTTAAAATGCATCTTTGAATCCTCATTCCATTCTAGGCATTCTTAGGCCTAGTTTAAGGTATCTTAACGGGGATATTGATGTAGAACTACACCGAGTCAAGATAGGGATTAAGTTATTATTTCCCAACTGTGTAGCTTAGTGTGTGTTCATTCTGTAACTGTGTAGGGATGGCATCCGAGAACGTGTACTAGCTTATCTATAGCCCAGAACTCTGTGAGTAACTATGTTGTAAAGATATGTTTAATTGAGATTATTTTCTGAATAAATGACTGTATTGCTTTATGAAATGACACTGTTTACTGAATGAATGTTTGTCCTATTTGTGAACTGTATTCGTGGCATCCATAGCAATTTACTGTTACTGAACTGTTACCACTACTGTTACAGAGATCTCTGTCGGTTCCCATGTTGGAACCACTACTGTTTACTGATATGTTGGCCATCAACTGACTGTTCGGTCTGTTAAGACCTACTGTATTATTTACTACTGGATGTATCACTTATGACTGCTATAATTGAATAACTGATATACTGTTTAAATGACTGTTTTAAATACTGAAAGGATATTTATTCTTAACCTCTTTATGCATATGTTATTCACTGGGTTTTAGCTCACTGCTCATATATATATGTAGGTGTTCAGGCACCGGACCGTTGCTAGAGGCGTCAAGCTTAACTCCTGTTTTGTCAAGCCAACCTTTGTGCCTCACTTTGAGGTTTCAGAACTGTTCAAGCTGAGGCTGCTTGGGGTGTTTTAGTTTTCCCCCTCTTTGTTTATGTTCTGTATAGACTGAATGATGTTGTACTGTACTGTTCTAATAGGAATTAAGTCTCTGTCCTGAATGATTGTATATATTGTACATACTGTTTTGGTACTGATTGTATATGTGTCTTGAAAAGTCTTTTTGCATACAGACTGTCACAACTCATTAGACATCTTTTAATTGTTGTTTTGGCTTCCGCCAGCCCCTGTACTCTGTATTACTGTTAAGGAGGCCTTCGGTAATCTTAGATTACTGGCCGATTACGGTGCTAAACCCATAGGAGCGGGTTTGGGTCGTGACAGGTATTTTAGTAATTATGTCACTCATAAGACTTATTGAAACATAAAAAAATAATATGAACTAAATGGAACATAAATAGATGAAAATGGTATTTTGGTCTTCTTATCTCAAATAGGACCTAATGGAATAATAAAAAAGAATATATATTGGATGGAATAAAACTCTTAGAAACGGAATTTATCAAAAAAACTCTCTATATTTTTTAATCTATAATGAAATATCAAAATAAAAATAAATGTGAGAGAGATTTAATATGTAAAATTTATTACAAAATAATAGTTATATATATGAAAAATATTATGTAAAATTAATTTGTGTAATATATATAAAAAAATATTATACAAATTAATATTATATATTATGTAAATATTCAATAATTAATTATAATATTTTTCAATTAGTCAATCCATCTAAAATTGTTCAAATTATAATTTATCAAATCTGCCAATCTATTGATCTGCAATTAAATTTATAATTTTACTTTCAAATCTACTGAATCGCACCGGACATAGGTATTTTTTTAAAAAAAATGCTTTAAAATTTTAATTTTTAAACCCTAAAACTAACTCTAATATGTTACAGTGAATTTCATTTTCTGTAATGTGATATTTTGATTTAATTTTTTTTTTCCTTACCATCATCAGTCTCCATTAAAATATTAAAATTAGTGTTCTAAATGATGAAATTTTTTTGAAGTTGGTGAGTCGTTTCACTCTGACTCGCCACGTCGACCGTCCGTACCTGATCTTATCTTCTTCTCAGTCGCTCTCAACGGCACAATCCCACTCTCTCTCTCCGTCTCTCTCTCTCTCTCCAATCTCAGTTACAACTCCACTGCATAACTTTCACGCCATTTACAGCATTATATTGATTTTCCATGGAAATCCCGGCGAGACGATCGAATAACTTTCCCGAGAAACAAACAGGCCTTTCTGCGTCGACTTCAGCCAAATTATCCCCTGACACAGACAATTCCGAGTCCTCATCGGAATCGGCGTTCGGTCAGGATGTGTATGATAGGGTTTCGTACAAGAGCTGGGCTCAGCAGACTGAGGAGAGCTACCAGCTCCAGCTGGCTCTGGCTCTCCGGCTCTCGTCGGAGGCTTCGCGCGCCGACGATGCCAATTTCTTGGAACCTGGGACCGATGATCGGTCCACGAGGTCGGGTTCCGACTTGGCCGAGGTCCTCTCGCATCGATTTTGGGTATGGAGGTTTTTCTGTTTTTGAGTTTGTTTGTGTTTTATTGATTGACAATTTTGTGCTAATGTGGCTAAATAATTGTCTTAAACTATGCAAAATCTTTGGGGAAAAAATTGAATTAGACATTTGGATTGAAGTCGGGGTTGATAAATGTAGAATAATTTTCATTTGATGGGACTTAACTCTTGGGTTGGTTTGGGTTGGTTTGGAAGATTTGGTCGAAATTAATCGAATTATTGAGAAAAGGATGGTAGTTTATTCTGCGATTGGGCGAATTTGGATTTGGACTAGAGAATTATTTGACCATAAATCCACGCTACACGTAAAACATTAGAAAATTCAGGCTTGTGATTTGGAGATGTGGAAGTTTTATTGTTTTTATTGATTCGGCTAACTATTTGGAATAAGAACTTTGAAATTTAGGTGAATAATTTAACAAATATGAAACATCAATAATTGCCCAGTGTCGTTATAAAAAAAATATGGATTCATTTGAAAACAGATCAGGTTTAGTTGGTTGCCATTCTTGTTCTTGCTGCTTACTTGCGCATTACATGATCTAAATGCAAATTAAAAGTACACTGGCTTGGGTGGAGTAAATGAACTTCAGTGTGCAATGCATTGCAAGTGGGTTTTGATTTTGTTTTATGTTTTGTTGATCCATTGTTGGATTCAATGTTGACAGTGAAATATGTAATAGAGGCATCTACCCAATCCTATCAAGGCGGGATTCAATTTGAAGTCTCTAGCATGACTAACCACAAAAAGAATTTATTACACTTCAAGATTGTAGTGATTTTACGAACTTTCTTACAATTGTTTCTGTTGCTCTTAGAATAAACTACTACGTGATTTCGAATGTATTCTATGTCTTGAAAGATCCAGACTTTTTCCCCTTCTTGGTGCATGAAATGTGAATGGCATGTCATTTTTCTAACAGAAAATATTCTCAAAGAATCATGTCCACGCTTTAATTTATGTTATCTGTTTCAAGCTTGCATATTAATGAGTTATAATGGTTTTATAATATTTGTTTGAACCAGGTGAATGGCTGCATGTCTTACTATGACAAAGTTCCAGATGGGTTTTACTTGATTCATGGGGTGGATCCATATATATGGACTATAAGTACTGATCTACAAGAGACTGGTCGGGTCCCATCATTTGATTCATTGAAGGCTGTTGACCCTCTTGATGGTTTGCCAATTGAGGTGATTTTGATTGATAAATCTAGGGATTCTGGTTTGAAAGAACTGCAGAATAGGGTACTCAGCCTATCTAGTAGCTGGATTACTGGACAAGAGATGGTTGATCATCTTGCTGAGCTTGTCTGCAATCACATGGGGTAAGTTTTCTTACTTCCCTTTGTTTTGAATACTCACATTAAATATATTTTTGTTGTGATTCAATAGTCCAACCTTTCATTATGGTAACAAGGGGTGTAGCTTCTGGAGAAGATTGTTTTGCTGACGGCTGGAAAAAGTGCACTGGGCTTTTGAAGGGCTGCTTTGGCTCCGTTGTGCTTCCAATGGGAAGCTTGTCTGTTGGCTTTTGTGTTCATAGGGCTCTCCTGTTTAAAGTAAATTTTACAGCTTAACTATAATCTTATGAACTGTCGTGCTATTTTACATTTTCTGAATTGGTCTAATTTTCATATTATATCTGTTATTGATGGAGTGATTCACTCTTTTCATCATACATAAACTTCTATGTCTGTTATTAACTTACTGCACATGATGTTTGCTCATATCACTTATTAAATTATTGTTTGTTAAGGACTGGTGTGCACATTGAATTTTTGTAGCTGCTCTTCAGATGCTCTCAGATGAATTTTGTTCTTGCAGTTGTTGGCAGACATGGTTAACTTACCATGCCGTATAGCTAAGGGATGTAAATACTGTGGGAGGGATTTTGCTTCTTCCTGTCTTGTGCGATTTGGTAATGACAGGTAAGTTATGTTAGATTTGTTTACTATTTTACTTAAAAATAAGGATGCAGTCCCCTAGGGGACATCTTTGAGGTGGTCTATGGGCTACCATCAAACTTCTAGTTTTGACCCATATTATGGTTTCCTGTCATTAAAAAGCAAGTTATTAAAATCATAACACACACACACACACACAAATTATGATGAATGCTTCTTCAGGCTATAAACTAGACTAGACAATAAACCAAGCATAACGTGAGGATGAGAACAAAAATTATGAGTGGAACCTGAAAAAAAACGTCATAATGCAGGGAAGTAAAATTTACAGTTCTAATGATCATATGGGATGGTAGATGCAAAGGATGGAATAAAGATGATAACTCACTTGAGTTTGAGGCAAAGGAATTGGAAAATTTTATTTTTTCTGTCAAGGGCATTACAAGTGAGACTACATAGGTTTATTTGAATAAGGATTGGACTGAGTAAAAGTAGATTTTGCAAATTTGAGTTCGGATTTCGTGAGGGAGGGTGTGGTGGGCACAAGGTGCCAGGCAATAAACTAGATTTTACCTTTTAAGCTCATTTCTTAAATGTTCAGACTTCAAACTATCTTTGTTTTCTGGGGTGGATTTCATTTTTTCTCTTGATCAGTCCTTGACATAATAGGTAGACTCAACATCATGCCTATTAATTATTTCATATTTGTAAAAACCTTGAGGTCAAATTTTGGTTCTTGCCAATAATGTGAACGTATGATTTTCAGAGAATATATTGTTGATCTGATTGGAAGGCCTGGATCTTTAAGCCAGCCTGATTCATTTCTTAATGGTACATCTTCCATTGTGGTTTCTTCACCATTATGTCATCCAAGGTTTAGAGCTGCTGAAAGTGCCGAGAACTTGAGGATGTTAGCCAGACTGTATTTTTCGGACTGCCAATCACTTAATATTACATTCGATGATGTTTCCTCAGGTAAATTTCTAGTTCCTTCACCATTATGTTATGTTATGTTATGTTATGTTATTTATTATTATTATTATTATTATTGAACGCTCATGTGTTTTTCTGTTTTAACCTTTTATTTATTTTTTTCTAATTCCTAAAATGTAAATATCTACAGTATTCTTCCAAAGACTATTAGACTTTTTTCTTAAAATCTTTTATCTTTGCATTTGTGAAGATGTGACATTAAAAGAAGTAAAATAATTAAAAACAAGAAAATTGAATTTTATGTAGAAAATATTATGTAATGATATATATATATATATATATATGTTACAATGAAAAAGGAGGGGCCAATCCAACCCATGACCTGCTAAGTGAGCTACAGTAGTTCTGACCACTAATATTTAAATATAAAAAGGCCTTATTTTAACAATTCACCTTAGGCCCCTAAAAAGACTCTTGTGCCGCCCGCCCCTGCTTGGACACCATGCCTCGCCTTTGGTATGTGCTTCATTCAAGTAAAGAAATTGGAAGTTGAGATTAAAGCAGGGAGATAGGAGGAAATTTTTTTTGCGTCTGCCACTTCTATATAGGAAGCAGATATGTAAGAAAGCATATATGCCTATATATGTGTATTTGTGATTAGTCCTTAGTGCTTTTGCTAAAGCTTTGCAGATATGTTACTTTATAGTAGACATAGATTTGAAATAAGAAATTGCGAAGTAAATTTACCTAATTTCTGGTGGTAATGAAATAACTAAATTTGACAATTGAATCAAGCTCATATGTCTTCGTATTAAATCAGGACGCAGCCAACTGCCCAGATTTTACACGATATTTCTACCCTTGCCACTCCTATTTGTGGGTTTAAGTTTCATTGTATATACCCTCATTGCGAGTGCTTCAGTTGACCTTGCATGCTTTTCCATAATGCATGCTTCAAGTTCATTTAAATTTTTTTATGAGCACATACATTCCTTTGTATGATAGAAGGTGATTATGCAATGAACAAATATATATGTTTAATTCTATTACAAATATTAAAAAGGGTTTTAGCATCTATAATTGTGCTGCGCTTTCATATGTTGTGTCTTTCTTTTGCACAGTTCCTATGAGTATTTGTAGTAAGCATAGTAACATAAGTGTTTGTGTCCCTTATGGCTACCTAAAAATGACCTGTGAGGTGACGTACCAAATGCATACATGATTTTGTGAATATGATGCAAAAAAATTGAGTATGCTAGTGATGCTGCTGTATTTAATGATTGCTAGGTAACATATTGTTCCTCAGTGATTTATCAAGACATTCAATGGGTTTTTGCTTTTCATCGTGACAGGTACTTCTATTAGTCAAGATAACACAGATCCTCAGGTCACTAAGCCACACGAAATGAAAAACTTTGATAGGAACAACCCTATTTCCAATTCAAGTAATGACCATGAATTATCTGTGTCACCTTTGCCGGGAAGAGCTGGTTGGACAATCACCCATGACAGAGATTTCCAGATGCAAAACTCATTTAATCCTTTTTTAAATGTCTTAAGTTCAACACACTTGGCCAAAGGCCCTGTTCTTCCAAGTCAGATCCTTCGAAATGGATATAGAGAGGCTCAACCAACTTTAGCCTTCTCTGATCTAAGGCCCGAAACAGATAATAATGTGAGGTTCATGGAATCTAATTACTTAGCAACCAGGGAACCACCTAGTCATGGTCATGACTTTTCTCTCGACGAGGAGGATTTAGACATCCAATGGAGTGATCTTGTTTTGAAGGAGAAAATTGGATCAGGTATCTGTTACTATAAAAATATTACAAACTGCAAGTCTTCATAGAGAAGTAGTAATTCAATGCAGTTCGGTAAAATTATTTTGAGTTGAGATACATGAAAGATAATGATGATATAAATTTCAGGTTCTTTTGGAACTGTTCATCTTGCTGAGCTGCGTGGTTCAGTAAGCATCCTTTTCCCACTGTCCTTATTTACTTAGAAATATGTCATTACATTCAGATATTTTTGTTTCCTTAAAGAGCTCAATATTGAATGTGATAAGAAACTGGGATGTGCATGCCATTTTTTTTCACTCATAAGGGAAGTATGCATTTGGATTCAAAAAAACTGGCAATGAGCCTTTGTCAAACTTGAATAAATGACCTTTCAAGAACATATCTTCAACAAGGGCAATTAGCTGTAAGACAAGGTAAATGCTTACATATAGCAAATATTCTAAAAATATGTCTCCATCAATTTTGATTCTATCCTAACTTTTTGCTTTGATCTTTACAATTCTTATTAAATTTGGTTTATTTTTTATAAATGATTACACAGAAGGAGGGACAAGTTTCCTTCATAGCCATTGCCTTTTTGCCAAAAATATTTTGATATACTTTATTGGCTTCATTTTCAATGATGCTCAAAGCCTCAAACAAATATCAGGGTGTTTTAAGGAAATATGTTTTTGAACCATTTGAAGAGAAAATAGAGGGGTGGTATTATTCTTTTCTGGATGATAAGACTACCACATAAAAATATTCTTGTTCTGGATGATTCCATCTTATGAAGACTTGTACAAAAAGTTCAATTTGAAGACTTGTCAAGTCCTGGTTGTTGCTAAGTCATAGTCTACTGGATTATTAAGGTGTACCAGATCTCAATTAGTTTGGATTTCAGGCTTTTTTGAGTTCCTTATTGTGTAGGATCTGCACTGGAGCTTTTGTATGAAGTTTTCTATATTTCTTCCTTAACACAGTGATTCTTTCTCTGTTCTCTTGTTAATTTTATGATTTATTTATGGCCACATTTGCTAGTGGCAATAAGCACATGATTGCCCTTGCATCAGTCTCTAGTTTAGTGCTGCAGTGAAAATTGCCCTTGCATCCAAAGCATCCTTAGGAGGGATGGTTCATTGTAGAGTTGTAAATCTTATAATGCCCTTTCTTTTTTGCATTTTCTTTTAAAAATTTGTACAGGAATCTGTTTCTGATCCATTTTTTAATTTTCAACTTCCCTACTCAATTTTAGAGCTTTGAATTTGCTCTTCTAATATGAATCTTTACTTTTAGGATGTTGCTGTCAAGATTCTCATGGAACAAGATTTCTATGCAGAGCGCGTCAAGGAATTTCGGAGAGAGGTATGCTTTGGCTACTTTGTGATGCTTATCAACAGATTTGCCATGAACAAATGAACAAAGGTGTAGGATTACTTTGCCTCCGTTTTATTCCTCACCTGGGGTCTTTTGTTGTTGTTTGTTAGTTTGCAATGATGAAACGCTTGCGACACCCAAATATTGTTCTCTTTATGGGTGCTGTGACTCAGCCTCCAAACCTATCCATAGTTACAGAATATTTGTCAAGGTTTGCTGCAGCAAATTTATTAACATTTTACTTAAATTGTTCTCTCACAAAAAAAATACTTTGGAAATGCTTTTCCTGTTATAATTAGTATTCCAATTTGAATTGCAGAGGCAGCCTGTATAAACTTCTGGGCATGCGTGATGCAGGCGTAATACTGGATGATAGGCGTCGCTTGAATATGGCTTACGATGTGGTATACATTAGTAGCTAATTTTTCTCAAGTCGTACAGCGTTTCATTGTTTCATGATGTATATGCAAATTTTGTTAAAATTGATATCTACCATCTCTATGTAAGGAGCACCCAAGCTAAGTGGGGGTGGCAACTGGTCAGGTTTGGGGCAGGTCATCTGTTCCTTGCCCTTCTCTTGAGGAAAGGAATTGCTTCCAAAACCCATCCTTACCCCATGGCAGGGACAGATGGGTCTAAAAATATCTAAGGGCAGGGCTTGATGGGTAACCTGTATATGGTCTCTGAACTTTAAACTAAGTGTGTAGATGAATAGCTTATATACCACCTGCATGTAAAAAATCAGGAGGTTTTCTAAGCTCTTCATTTTTTTTTTAATCACTCTTGAATAGGGCTGCAAACGAGCTTTGCTGAGCTCGAGCTCGGCTCTTTTACTTATGGAGCTCGTTTATTGAGCTCGAGCTCGGCTCGATAAGGAACTGGGCTCGAGCTCGGCTCGGCTCGTTAATTTTAATGAAACTCGAGCTCGGCTCGGCTCGATAATTTTTTTTAATATTATTTATATTATTTAAATATAAATATTTAAATAAAAAATATTATTTAGATTATTTAATATATAAAAAATGTATTTATATTATTATTTATATATATATTTATATATTTTTAATATATAAATAATGTATTTATATATTATTTAATATATAAATAATATATTTATTATATAATTTAAATAAAGATAAACGAGCCGAGCTTATGCGAGCTCGAGCTCGGCTCATTTACTAAACGAGCCGAGCCGTTAACGAACCGAGCCGAGCTTGTTCATGAACAGCTCGGTTCATTTGTAGCCCTACTCTTGAACTTATTTGGCACATGGAATTTAAAGAGGGAACGCCTTTCAAGCAATTAAATGTAGAGAGGGGCCTTGGTTTCATGCACAATACCTCTCACATCTTACCTTTTTGTGTAACTATACTATAAGTGTTACCATCAATTTTTTCACACATCGATAATAAACAGACTTTTCTAGACTTCATAAACATCCAACACCACACTTCTTCCAAAGCATGTTTGACAGCGTGCCTGATAGTTGTAAAAATGGTATTTTAACATACAGGATATTTTTTTCATTAGAAAGTATAATCCGCGTAGGCTAGGGCAGGTAGGACTCTTTTATAATGATTGATTCTGACCAAAACCTGAGTTGTGATTGCTACTTTATTCTAAATCTGTGCTCATCCTCTGATTACTAGCTTCCCACACCTATCACATTAGGGGTCCTATCACATTAGGGGTGGGGTGGGACATGATACCTGAAGAAAATGTATTTGGACTTCTATCCGTACTGCCTGCTTTGTGTTATTATTATTTGTTTTCTACTTATTTTTAAGAAAAAGAAGAAAAAGAAAAACGGTCATCCTATCTTCATCTGACTGTGTTTATGGGTACATTTTATTGGATTTGGAACTGGTTTCTGCTTTTTCACAGGCAAAGGGAATGAATTACCTTCATCAGCTTAAACCTCCCATTGTCCATCGAGATTTAAAGTCTCCCAATCTTTTGGTGGACAGTAAATATACCGTAAAGGTAAGATTCAGATCAGATTGTATTGATATACTGAAAATTGTTTTTACCCGCTTTGTTTTTTGTTCATTTATCTTTTTCCTTCTTGCATTCAACTAGCTTTTCCATCAGCCAAGGCTACAAGACTGTTGGTTTGTTTATTTCTATGAGCTATTTGATACTAAAATTACTTCTTAAGAAACACCTTTTAGATAAATTAAGTGTTGTTTCTTTCTTTCTAATTAAAGGAAGTTTAAAATAGAAGGCTAATAGTTATCACTGGTGGCTCTTGCTGTGCTGATATTAAGCCCCATGTGGGTGATCATCAGGGTGGACTCACACATAGCAAAAAAAATTATTTTATTTATTTTATTCCTTCTTTGTTTCAAGTAAATCCTTCGATGCCATGCTTAGTGTTTTTATCTTTTACACGTGAAATTGTTGGCACTAAATAGAAACGTTACTCCTCCTACAGTAGCTCTTAATATGTATAAGAGAAACTCTGTTAGTGATTTTTGTACATTTAACGTGCGAATAGAGGAATACATAGACTTAAACATAGTAAATTAATAAATTGAAAGATTTTGTTGAAATTGTTCCTTCATGATTACGTCTTTTAGTAACATTTCTCAGTTGGATGCTGACATTTATGGTTACCCAGGTCTGTGATTTTGGCCTCTCCCGTACAAAACTCAACACGTTTCTTTCATCTAAAACGGCTGCTGGGACTGTAAGTTTTTATTTGGCAGCTTCCTTCAATTGTTCATGAATAGAAAGGGACATGGTTAGTTTTAGTTACTGACTTTTTCTTGTTTCTTTTATTAGCCTGAGTGGATGGCACCAGAAGTCCTCCGTGATGAGCCATCAAATGAGAAGTCAGACGTTTACAGTTTTGGTGTAATTTTGTGGGAACTTGTGACCGTTCAACAGCCATGGAGAAACTTTACTCCATTGCAGGTTTTTATATAGTACTCACTTGAACTCCTACTGTCTTAGTATGAAAATGATGAAACTAAACAAAGGAAATTGATTTGTGTCTAGTCCTTGTAAACTTGCTACTTGATAAAAATTAAAAAATAAATAAATCAATGAAGTAAATTATAATGGAGAGTTTGTTACCAAAATGAGTGTGTAAGATGAAGGAAGAGCTGAGCCTGTGATAAATCTGTTAGATGTGAATGTATCATGTGCACAGCACTATAAGATGTGCAGGGGATTTTTTTTTTTATCATGGACCCAAATAGACAAATTTATAACAAACCTGTAATCAAAAGAACCAAAAAGGCGTTAAATAAAACCCAACTCAAACATCTGCAAAGGGAATCTAGTCTGGGAGGTTGAGTTTGCCAAGAAACAACTAGAATTTCAGTATTGAGTTTTATTGGATTGGGTGGCCACCAAAGTGAAGCTTTACTTCTTGCATGCTTTAATGGTAAAATTTGTCTAATTGTGTATGCTGTTAGTATTTGTTTTTTGAAGTCCTCGGAATACTACCAAATAATTCTTTTTGCCATTCATGGTCATACACATCAACTAAATTACAACACTCTACGAAGTGATTCGCCAACAAACAAATTGATGCATATACGTAGGCAGTTCCATTTTATTGTTGGGATCTAGCCAAACTTATATATACTTTACCTTTTGCAGGTTGTGGCATCTGTTGGATTTAAGGGCCAAAGGCTTGAAATTCCCAGCAACGTCAATCCTCAAGTGACTGCCTTAATTGAAGCCTGTTGGGCCGAGTGAGTATATATTCAAAATATGTTTGATTGAATTGAATTTACAAATTTTATGTTTCCGGAACTGTAGTCACGACAAGGCAGTAATTTACGTGATGATACATTGTTCTCTCTCTCTCTCATTTAAACTGTTTTGTGCTGCAGTGAGCCGGGGAGACGTCCTTCGTTCTCCTTCATTATGGAGGCTTTGCAGCAATTGATCTCGTAATGCACACACCAACCAATTCTTATATTCCACTAGTTACCTAAAAAGAGTAAATTTCCTGATGGCCGTGGGACAATTGCATAGAACATCTTGTTTACTCACGTGCGTCTACAGAATCCCCATCAGCAATTACTTTATTTTCTCATGTACAGAAAAAAGGGGTTCATGACTGGTACAGTTAACTAGATGGCTCAAGAAACCAACACCCCAAGTTTGATCATCGGGCTGACTTGATGCAAGTGATCTAGGGCTGATTCTGTGCAACAGTGGAGATTTTGGACTCATTGATACGATTAAAAAATGGTCCATTTTTATCTAGTAAAAAGAATGTTTAATCATGTATTGATGTCAACAGTCTTAGAGAATGAAGCAAGATGGCATAAGAGTAACCATATTAAAGGCAAGTTTGGCATGACCTAAATAATATAAAAAGTCAAAAAGTCACTATTCTATTTAAGTCACATCATCTTATTTAAATCACATCACTTCTCTAATATATCACATCAAACCCAATCCATATAAATCAATAAGTCAAAAAGTACATCTTTTTAGAAAATTCCAAACCAATCCTAAGAGTAACCGTATTGTACAAACATTTTCAACCCTTCAGTTGTTGATTTCAGATGCTCAAGTGTGGTCATTGTGTTTTGAATATCGGTCTCGGACATCATTTGTTGATTAGTCAAGTTGGATATCTTACCACCAGGATTGGTGTATCAAATATATGGGATCCAGTGGCGAAGTGAAGATTTTTACTTGTAATAATGTTCTCCACCTTTTGTCATGTCTCAGCTCTAGTGCACTTAATTCCCACTCCTAACTACGACACCAACTTGGATTGCAATGGTCATTTCCAGAGCAGCTCTAGTGCACTTAATTCCCACTCCTAACTACGACACCAACTTGGATTGCAATGGTCATTTCCAGAGTAATTAAGAAAGTGTTATCAAAATCGTTTGGTATAAATTTTATATATTTAAAAATTAATTATTTAACGCATGAATTACAAATATATATATATTTAATTTATTTAAATTTTAATGTACAGTAAATTTTACAAAACAAAATGAAAAGGATTACACTTTTATTCATGTAGTTTGACTTAAATTTCATTTTAATTCTTATAGTTTTGTAATTTGAATAATTTAGTCTCTACATTTTAAATTTAGTTTCAATGTGGTCATTCTTTTCAAATTTTTGTTAATTTTCTTTATGTATACATCTTATAAAATTGACAAGTATTCTAAAATTATTAATTTTAATTTTTAATTTAGACGAAAGAATTAAATTGAAATTCTAGAAAATTAACAAGTGTTTCAAAATTATTTACTTTAATCTCTAACTTAAGTGGAAGGATTAAATTAAAATTAAACTTAAAAGTGGATGGATTCAATTGTTTAAATTAAAACTATAAAGATTCAAATAAAATTTAAGTCAACCAATATGAGTGAAAAGTATAATTAACGCAAATAAAAAACACTTCAAACATTTTATAAACCAATATTTTTAAAATTGAACCGGTTCAATCACTCTGTTGAGTGGCTTTGGTTGGTTTAGGTCCTCATTCGGAATTAAAAAGAACTACAGTTAAACCGGTTTGATTAGGTAAATGGATTGGTTGTTGGAATTTATAGAAAGCGATGCACAAAATTTAAATCTAAGACTTTAGATGTAAGTAAGAAGATTCTTATTTAAACAATAAATTTTTTTTGAGGAATTATTTAAGCCATATATATATATATATTATAATATTAATTTTTTTATTATTTATTGCAGTATGCACCTATCTCAAAACATAGTGTAACTAAAATAAGTGATAATAAGGAGAAAATAAAATAAATAAATAAATAGGAAAAAAATAAAAAAAGGAAAAAGGGTGAAATGATGGAATTATTTATGAAATCACAGAAGAATGGACAAGAAAAGAAAAAATAAGAGAGAAGTGAAAAAGTAAAATATATACCGATAAGCTATTGTTTTTAAAAAGGGGATTTTTTTTTAAGGTCTCTGCTATTAAGATTTTATAGCATAAAGGACACTCAATATTTTTATAATGTCTAAGGTCCCTCAACATCGATCCAGAGAATTTCTCTGGGCAAATCACAGAGAAAATTTCAAATTTCTTTGGACATATCACAGAAAAAATTTCAAATTTCTCCGGACAACAATGAGGACTACTGATTTGCTTCAGAGAAAATTGGGTTGGTCTAGAGAAATTCTCTAGTTTGGACCGAATTTTCTCTGGGTTGAACTCAAATTTCTCTGGGTTGGTGCAGAGAAATTTTCTGATTTGGACTGAATTTTCTCTGGTTTGGTTCAGAGAAATTCTCTGGTTTGGATTAAAATTTCTTTGGATTGATTTGAGGGATCTTAGACATTATCTCCTTAGCATTTCATCAAATACATTCTTTGCTAAATCCATGTCCCCTTGTTTTTGTTTTTTGTTTTTTTTGTAAACTGTGCATCAAGGTGATGTCAATAAATAATTGCTTTTGTTTTGTTGTAAACCTCTATCTGCTCATGCTAAAAAGATGTGTGTTTTGTGTTACTACAGCCACTCTAGAAAGTATCAAGATATGACTCAACTGTAGTACTTTCATGTATACATTTCAGGTAATTGAATTTGTTCAATTTAAAGAACAATTACAACACTCTGGACAATATTTGATGGCAAAGATTGAAGCACCCATTCTACAACTAAAGCAGAATGTAGATAACAACAATGAGGATTAGTGCTCTACTTCAGAGAAAATTGGGTTGGTCCAGATAAATTCTTTAATTTGAACTAAATTTTCTTTGGGTTGAACTCAATTTACTCTGGGTTGGTGCAAAGAAATTCTCTGGTTTGGACTAAATTTTCTCTGGTTTGGTTCAGAAAAATTCTCTAGTTTGGATTGAATTTTCTCTAATTTGGTTCAGAGAAATTCTTTGGTTTAGATTGAAATTTCTCTAGATTTATTTGAGGGACCTTAGACATTCTCTCTTTGGCATTTCATCAAACACCTTCTTTGCTACATCCATGTCTCCAGCTCGTGTAAGGTTGTCTCCCTTTTTTAGTTGCCATTATGATATTTTCAATCATTATTTAATGACAGAAGTAGAGAAAAATCTTGTAATTGAAAAAGAACAGAACCACAATCACACTAAGACCTAGAATCTGTCAAACATAAAACATAAACGAGTGTAATGGAAACCCAAATTCCAATGTATACCTTCAACAGGTTTGGAAGAAACCTCTCCACTATATGACCATGATGATAATGGAGACGGACCACCACTACCACAACTATGAATTCGATTTAGAAGTTTCCGGCGATAAAAGTAACGATTGGAGACGAGCATGGGCATGGCGGTGGTGGTGGAAATGGGGATGATCTTGAAGTCTTCGTGGTGGGAATGTGGACAATCTGGAAGACGAGGAGATGAGAGAGAGAGAAGAAAAGATGGATTTAGCAGAGGATGAGAGTTTAGAGAGAGAAAAAAAAATGAAGTTTAATTTAAGAAATTTCTCTGTGATACATGAGTGTAAGGTTTAAGAAACCTTACACATCTTAAAATAATATTGTGAATCTCTTCCATTACTAAATATAAGAGAGCCCTTAAATTAATTTTCTCTTTTTAAAAAAACATCTCAATTATTATTTTATAAAGGTGTGGCAAAAATATGTTAAGAATTCAAAAGACTCCTTGTGCTTTATTATATAAATATTTTTAATTTTAGGGTAGAAAGAAAGTTAGGGCTACCAGAGACTCCACGGCGTATCCATCTCGACGCCTACATTATACACACATATCTCTGCTCTCTCTGTAGTAGAGATTTCTCGTGTTCGGACCCAGAAATTCAGCTAAATCTCCGATCAGGTAACGAAGATATAGAGCCTACTGTACCTTTCCATATACATGAACAAGGTTTGTAAACATGTATATGTATTTGTTTTTGTTCAAAAACGAACACACCCTCGTTAATGATACTCAAGATTTATCTTATAGATCGGATAAATTTGTTGGTATTAGCAGAAGCAAAAACCCTAATTAAACTAAATTTGTTTGTTTTAAATGTTTATGGTGATTGAAAACTGTAATTGGGGCATTTTGGTTTCATCATTCATATATCTGAATTTGATTATTTTCTTTTGTATATGACTTTCTTATAATTATAACTTTTATATTTGTGCTGTTAGTGAGATGGGGGCCAAAGCAAAGAAAGCCATGATGAAGAAATTAAAGAAAGGTTCATCCCAAAAAGATGAATCTGCTGATTTCTTGGTATTTTTTATTAGTTATTCATAATTCTTTAAATTATATGCATTTTTTTTTTACATGTTGATTTATGTAGAATTTTATGTGATTGGCAGCCATTAGAGGGCGGTCCTGGCCATAAGCTTCCCAAAAGTGAAACTACGGAAAATAAAGCTACAGTGCTCTATATTGGTCGAATTCCACATGGGTTTTATGAGAATGAAATGGAAGGTACAATTTAAAAAAAAAAAAAAGTGTATATATACATGTATGTGCTGATGTGTGTATGAATTTCAAAGTAGAAAATGTTTTATTGTTCATATTTGTGCAGGTTTCTTTAAACAGTTTGGCACCATCAAGAAACTTAGACTTGCCAAGAATAAGAAGGTTGGGGTCTTAATTTTATTATTGCTTCTAATTATTGTCATATATATTAAATTTAACTAAGCATTTGTGAATACAAAGCTAAATTTGAAGATTTGTTTGTTTAATCATATCTAAGAAGAATGGAAATTTCTAAGATTTTTAACCATGTCGGACGCATCCACTCACCGCAAGTCTCCTAATTAATTTTTTAAACTATACATGCTTTATACATTTGGAGGACACATGCTTAGATACAAATAAAGCATATTACCAGTTTGAAGAAAATAACTTGGATCCAATAATAAAAATAAAAAAACAATATTGTTTTATTCCCATTAATCTCTCATCCTTTAGAATTTTTAAGTTTAGGAATTATAAAGGCCATATTGTTTATGAATAGAGCTTTCTGAAATAGATATTAAAGTCTTTTGTACAATGTAGAAAATGCTTTCTTACTATTTCGATATAATATAAATGTATTTGCAATGTAAAAAATTGAGAGAATAATTATTATTTTAATGCATACATAAAAATGTATATTTATTTGTTAACTTGTCTCTAAAATTGTATGAAAAGAATGGAAATTACTAATATTACTCCAAAATAACAAGGGAGGTAGGGGAGTTTCATACATTAGAAGGTAAAAAAACAACAATGAATTGTCTCCAATGTATTGCTAAAAGGATTGCTCTTCTTTATAATAATAATACAAGTTATATTATCATTGTTAATTCCTTTTGATTTTTTATGGTGTTATTGTTGTGACTAGAGCACTCATGTTTTGTGTTAGGTACGTATTTCTCTCTTTTAGTTTCAGTCTCTTAATTGCTAACTGTTTTTTATTGTTTATATGATTTGATGTTTCGTAGACAGGAAAATCCAAGCACTTTGGCTTCATTGAATTTGAGTCCCCTGAGGTTGTACTTACCTCAAAGAAAAAATTCATGTGGATACTTGTTATTTAGTAATGTTTCTTATCGTTGGTTTTTAATTAGTGCAGGTTGCAAAAATTGTATCTGAATGTATGCATAATTATCTTATGTTTGAGCACATGTTACAAGTCTATCTTATTCCTCCTGAGCGTGTTCACCCAAAGTTGTAAGCAATTATCTATTCTTGATTGTTATCGTTTAATTGTTTGAGACCTGCCTCATATGAATTCTAACTTATCATCTACTGTATGGAAAAATATGATATTACCATGTTCTTTTAAAAGTTGGGTTGGGTGTTTCCTCAGAAGCAGTTGCAGATTGTTAGATTGTGGTTTCCCATAATAGTCGTAGATAATGATAAGATTTTCAAGGAAAAAAAAAAAAAAACTCTGAGATAGGCTTGCTTTCATGTCATGTTGGTAGCCCCCAAACTAATCAAATATGGACGCGTGATGGCTCGACAGTTGGAGTAAGTATTAAGGTGGAAAGGCCCTAGCCGATGGCACAAGCCAGTGGACTGGGTTCAAATTGAAAGGAAGCGACATGACAAGGTGTGTGAATATAGATACAGACATCTGGCAATCATTCTTGGATGCTTATGAGGCAAATTAAGAAAACCTGTCATTCACTATTGATCTTGATGTGGTTATTTTTGAAGAGATAGTAACCATTTACTTGTGATGATTATTCAGGAAAGAACATTGGAAGAGCACAAGAAGCTGGTGGGAGAAATCCTAAAACGTGACCAAAAAAAGCGTAAGAAGATTGAAGCTGCTGGTATTGATTATGAGTGCCCTGAAATTGTAAGAATCTAAATCTTGCCATTTTTTGGTTCTTCAATGCTCTTGCAATTTTTATAAAAATATAGGGAACTACTTTCGAAAATTCAGGCTTGAATTTAAGGAATAATTTATGCTTTTCTGCTAATCCAAAATTTGGAGGCATGGGCCAGCGTTTTTTGACAAGCAAAGTTGCGAGTTCCTATTGTCTTGAGTCCTACCTAGTTTGGGTCCTATTGTCTTGGGTTTCTGGGTCAGTAACTGTTGAATTTAAGCCTTAAAACTATTCAGTTAGGTGATACATAGTAAGGCATCCAGATTTTCAGAGGATGTTATCCAGATTATCAGGAATTTGATTTTCCTGTTTTGTAATTTGATTTTATTGCAGGTGGGTAGCAACCAGCCTGCTTCGAAGAAGATTAGGTTTGAGGAAGACTAAATCTTTACGGGAGGATGAAAAGTAGGCAATGCTGTTTATTTACTCGATGTTTCCAATTCGTAGTCATAGTTTTGCTTACAAATCCATAAGAAGAATTAATTTCCTTTCCCTTTCCGCTTCTAGGTTTATGATGATGGACATGGGGACGGAAAAAAGTGCACAAGTAACTGTGTTAGGTTCAGAAGTTTTGTATTTGCACTGGTTATGTAGGACTTCAATGGCTTTTTTGGATCTCCAAATGCCGTGTGCACCATTTGGATGCTGCTGTCCATGGCTTGCCTATTTTATTTTTATTTTTACCCTTTAATGTTTTTGGCTGTACTAACAATCTTCATCAATTTTGCTACAAGGAGAATAGAAGTAGTTGATGTCAAATTTTAGTTTGTTGTTCATCGGGGTTCAGCTTCAATGGCTGTGTGGAAACTTGTGTTTCTGTAAAAATTTGTATACCCTCGTCTCTCTCTTCTTCTTTTCACGCCTTTCCTCCTCTCCCCTTTCTACCTCTCTTAAATCATGTCTAATGCTGCTTTGAGTGGTGACGTTCAATGTTCATATAAGCATTCAATCGTCTCTTGGCTGCAAATTTGCTCTTGTAAATGGTTCTTTGCATCATATCTAACTTGATTGTGACGGTCATATTAACTCTCATAACCCACCCTGTATCAATTTCTTTGTGAGTCCGGATTCTCTACAGTACTTTCCTGCGGTGGTTCCTGTAATGTCTCAAAATGATGTCGTTTTGGGGCAAAATTTTCACAAAAAAAAAAAAACTGTTGTTTACACTTCATGCTTCTCCAGTGTGCATCTTCCCTAACAGCTCCGATGACCCCCTTAACCCTCCTCACCCTCCAGTGACCTCCCCCAATTGTTCTCCACCGGCGATCCTCCCCCAGCCACATCACCCCCTCCTTCCTTGCTTTTCTTCTTCTTCCTTTCTTTCTTCTTCTAGATCTAGAAAAAAAAAAAAAAAAAAAAAACTGAGGGAGAGGAGAATCTGGTGGGTTTAATTGAGAGAGAAGTTAGAGAGAAAATGAAATATGCTATTGGAGTTTGTATGAACCCACTGCTAGAGCATTTGAAATATTCTTCATCTTCAAAGTCATCATCCAAATATTCCATTTTCAAGAGCCTATCATTGTCTCATCTTCCTCCACTTCGACTCTCTAAAGCAGAAACACAAAATTCGGTAGGAATTTGGGAAAGAACAAGACAGAAATTGAGGTGGGTCAATAAATCTGAGAGAAAAGGGAGATGGGTTTGGTGGGTTTTGGATGGAAAAGGAAGAAATTGAGAGATGGTGCGGTGATGGGTGGTACGGCTGAACGAGGGTCGCCGTAGGGAGGAGAAACTGGGGGAGGGTTGCCGGAGAGGAGGGAGGGGTTAGGGGCTGGCCGAAGCTGGTGGACAGCTGGCCGGCAATGGAGGGGTGTGAAGATCAGGGCCTTGCTTGGTTTGTGTTTCCAAAAATTTTTGAGAAAAATTCTCTACAAATAAGTTTTCAAAAGTAATCAAACCAAACAAATTTTTTCAAAAAAATTTCTCAAAACTTGTTTGGTTTACAAGTTTTCCAAACAAATCTCTTTCTCATATACATCAAATCAATCACTTTTTTCAAAACTCTCTCTCAAAATAATTTTTCAAAACATCTTTTGAAAAAAACCAAACCAAACAACTTTTCGTATTTTTTTATCTCTAAAACTCATCTTCCAAACTCAAACCAAACATATCCCAGATTTTTTTTAAAAAGAATTTTGTCCCAAAACGACATCGTTTTGAGGCGTTACAAAAATCACTGCAGAAAAACACTAGAGGATCTGGACTCTTTGTTCTTTCATGTTTTTTCGTCCACAATTTGAAGAATCAAACACTGCTTAGAAAAGTTAGTTTTCAGACTTGTTGAGAGCGTCTCCGGTGGTTGGCAATGTCGAAGCTAAGTTTTGATAGGCTGCTACAATAAAAAAGGTTATAGTTTTGGCAATTCTGTTTGAATATAATATATATATATATATATATATATCTTTTATATATACACACATATCTCTGCTCTCTCTGTAGTAGAGATTTCTCGTGTTCGGACCCAGAAATTCAGCTAAATCTCCGATCAGGTAACGAAGATATAGAGCCTACTGTACCTTTCCATATACATGAACAAGGTTTGTAAACATGTATATGTATTTGTTTTTGTTCAAAAACGAACACACCCTCGTTAATGATACTCAAGATTTATCTTATAGATCGGATAAATTTGTTGGTATTAGCAGAAGCAAAAACCCTAATTAAACTAAATTTGTTTGTTTTAAATGTTTATGGTGATTGAAAACTGTAATTGGGGCATTTTGGTTTCATCATTCATATATCTGAATTTGATTATTTTCTTTTGTATATGACTTTCTTATAATTATAACTTTTATATTTGTGCTGTTAGTGAGATGGGGGCCAAAGCAAAGAAAGCCATGATGAAGAAATTAAAGAAAGGTTCATCCCAAAAAGATGAATCTGCTGATTTCTTGGTATTTTTTATTAGTTATTCATAATTCTTTAAATTATATGCATTTTTTTTTTACATGTTGATTTATGTAGAATTTTATGTGATTGGCAGCCATTAGAGGGCGGTCCTGGCCATAAGCTTCCCAAAAGTGAAACTACGGAAAATAAAGCTACAGTGCTCTATATTGGTCGAATTCCACATGGGTTTTATGAGAATGAAATGGAAGGTACAATTTAAAAAAAAAAAAAGTGTATATATACATGTATGTGCTGATGTGTGTATGAATTTCAAAGCAGAAAATGTTTTATTGTTCATATTTGTGCAGGTTTCTTTAAACAGTTTGGCACCATCAAGAAACTTAGACTTGCCAAGAATAAGAAGGTTGGGGTCTTAATTTTATTATTGCTTCTAATTATTGTCATATATATTAAATTTAACTAAGCATTTGTGAATACAAAGCTAAATTTGAAGATTTGTTTAATTATAATGTTTGTTTGTTTAATCGTTATCTAAGAAGAATGGACATTTCTAAGATTTTTAACCATGTCGGACGCATCCACTCACCGCAAGTCTCCTAATTAATTTTTTAAACTATACATGCTTTATACATTTGGAGGACACATGCTTAGATACAAATAAAGCATATTACCAGATTGAAGAAAATAACTTGGATCCAATAATAAAAATAAAAAAACAATATTGTTTTATTCCCATTAATCTCTCATCCTTTAGAATTTTTAAGTTTAAGAATTATGAAGGCCATATTGTTTTTGAATAGAGCTTTCTGAAATAGATATTAAAGCCTTTTGTACAATGTAGAAAATGCTTTCTTACTATTTCGATATAATATAAATGTATTTGCAATGTAAAAAATTGAGAGAATAATTATTATTTTAATGTATACATAAAAATGTATATTTATTTGTTAACTTGTCTCTAAAATTGTATGAAAAGAATGGAAATTACTAATATTTCTCCAAAATAACAAGGGAGGTAGGGGAGTTTCATACATTAGAAGGTAAAAAAACAACAATGAATTGTCTCCAATGTATAGCTAAAAGGATTGCTCTTCTTTATAATAATAATACAAGTTATATTATCATTGTTAATTCCTTTTGATTTTTTATGGTGTTATTGGTGTGACTAGAGCACTCATGTTTTGTGTTAGGTACGTATTTCTCTCTTTTAGTTTCAGTCTCTTAATTGCTAACTGTTTTTTATTGTTTATATGATTTGATGTTTTGTAGACAGGAAAATCCAAGCACTTTGGCTTCATTGAATTTGAGTCCCCTGAGGTTGTACTTACCTCAAAGAAAAAATTCATGTGGATACTTGTTATTTAGTAATGTTTCTTATCGTTGGTTTTTAATTAGTGCAGGTTGCAAAAATTGTATCTGAATGTATGCATAATTATCTTATGTTTGAGCACATGTTACAAGTCTATCTTATTCCTCCTGAGCGTGTTCACCCAAAGTTGTAAGCAATTATCTATTCTTGATTGTTATCGTTTAATTGTTTGAGACCTGCCTCATATGAATTCTAACTTATCATCTACTGTATGGAAAAATATGATATTACCATGTTCTTTTCAAAGTTGGGTTGGGTGTTTCCTCAGAAGCAGTTGCAGATTGTTAGATTGTGGTTTCCCATAATAATCGTAGATAATGATAAGATTTTCAAGAAGAAAAAAAAAAAAACAAAGGAATCAAATCAAGTAAATAAATAGAGGAGATAAATAAAATTGTTCTGCGTAAAGTTATTTAGTTTCTGTGACACCAATGAATTGCTGATGGTTTTACTTTATTTTTAAGGTGGAAAGGCCCTAGCAGATGGCACAAGCCAGTGGACTGGGTTCAAATTGAAAGGAAGCGACATAACAAGGTGTGTGAATATAGATACAGACGTCTGGCAATCCTTCTTGGATGCTTATGAGGCAAATTAAGAAAACCTGTCATTCACTATTGATCTCGAAGTGGTTATTTTTTAAGAGATAGTAACCATTTACCTGTGATGATTATTCAGGAAAGAACATTGGAAGAGCACAAGAAGCTGGTGGGAGAAATCCTAAAACGTGACCAAAAAAAGCGTAAGAAGATTGAAGCTGCTGGTATTGATTATGAGTGCCCTGAAATTGTAAGAATCTAAATCTTGCCATTTTTTGGTTCTTCAATGCTCTTGCAATTTTTATAAAAATATAGGGAACTACTTTCGAAAATTCAGGCTTGAATTTAAGGAATAATTTATGCTTTTCTGCTAATCCAAAATTTGGAGGCATGGGCTAGCGTTTTTTGACAAGCAAAGTTGCGAGTTCCTATTGTCTTGAGTCCTACCTAGTTTGGGTCCTATTGTCTTGCGTTTCTGGGTCAGTAACTATTGAATTTAAGCCTTAAAACTATTCAGTTAGGTGATACATAGTAAGGCATCCAGATTTTCCGAGGATGTTATCCAGATTATCAGGAATTTGATTTTCCTGTTTTGTAATTTGATTTTATTGCAGGTGGGTAGCAACCAGCCTGCTTCGAAGAAGATTAGGTTTGAGGAAGACTAAATCTTTACGGGAGGATGAAAAGTAGGCAATGCTGTTTATTTACTCGATGTTTCCAATTCGTAGTCATAGTTTTGCTTACAAATCCATAAGAAGAATTAATTTCCTTTCCCTTTCCGCTTCTAGGTTTATGATGATGGACATGGGGACGGAAAAAAGTGCACAAGTAACTGTGTTAGGTTCAGAAGTTTTGTATTTGCACTGGTTATGTAGGACTTCAATGGCTTTTTTGGATCTCCAAATGCCGTGTGCACCATTTGGATGCTGATGTCCATGGCTTGCCTATTTTATTTTTATTTTTACCCTTTAATGTTTTTGGCTGTACTAACAATCTTCATCAATTTTGTTACAAGGAGAATAGAAGTAGTTGATGTCAAATTTTAGTTTGTTGTTCATCGGGGTTCAGCTTCAATGGCTGTGTGGA